TCCACACTGACGTGGTTCTTGAAAATCCAGTGTGACTGAGGGCAGGCACAGCTTGGAGGTGAATTATTGCCAAGTCTCCTGGAGCATTACCCAGCAGTGCTGGAAGCAGCCCCAGGGATCAACACTCTTGCAAATGATCAGCCAGCCCCTTCCTCACAAAGGTCCTTATAGGAAAATGTTTGTCTAGAGTGCAAAACTGTTTTTCAAAAAAATCTCAGAGAGAGGGATAAATAAGCAAAAAAACAGTGGGAAATGTTTAAATCAATTTTTAAACAACATAGTGAGCATTTTAGTTGAGAGATTTTTTCTTGTCTCATTAAAAAAAATTAAAATCCAAATGTAATTATTTACCTAAAAGCTGTATCACGAGGGGTGGATGCTGCCAGCCTGCAGGGCTGAGCCAGAGCTCCAGATCCCACTGTTCCTGCTCTGTCCACAGGCTTTGGGCTGGCACAGGCACAGTGCTCCTTCCTGCCAGCCTGCTAAACACGGCCGGCTTGTGCTCCAGCTTAGCACAAGCTCGGTCAGGCACCTGATAAATCTAAACCAAACCCAAGTGCCTTTGGCTGCTGAGGATGGAGCTGCTGTCAATTTGTTTTTCTCGGCTCAGCAGTTTCCCCTGAGATCTCCATCCACAAGTCGATGCTCGGTGTGGCACTGCCCTGCCCCAGCCCCTCTCCCGGGAGCCGTGCGTGTCCTCAGGCTGGCCCCGAGGGACGCGTGGCCGCCCAGCGCCGGGGCTGCCTCAGCCCCGAGCTCCGCTCCCATCGGGGCTGCCGGGGATCGGTGACAGGGACACACACCTGGGTTTCCTCTGCACTTCATTAAGAGCCAGAATTTTATATTTTCTGCTGGACTTCCCCCTCTGCAGTGACAGCCTGACTCTGTGTCTGCGAGGCAAATACAACTTTTCCATTTGGGTATTTCCAGTGATATTGGTCAGGCACAAAAATCGTGATCTGAAGGAACAATTTTGGCGGTCTTACCCCAAATGTCAGATTCTTTCTGTCTTTTTACAGATAATTTTAATTTTTAGGACTCTTTCCCCTAAACTGTTTAAAGCTAGGAAAAACCCCAGAAGCTGTAATGGAATCGGGACCCGATACAAATCAGCAGGGCTCTCGCTGCGGGCATTTCGGCCAAAGCTGACTCGCGGTGCCTGCTCCAACTTGCGGCAGCCGCGAGAGCATCAGCAGCCAAAGGTTCCCCCCTGCAGCACAGCGACAGCTACTGCAGGTGCCCCATCAGCTGGAGCTCATTCATCCACGAGGACTTTTCCTGTTTAAAAAATGAAGGAAAAAAAAAAAAAAGCATCTTGTGCTGCTAAAATGCAGAGACAATTCTTCTGACTGCAGCAAAAGCAGATGGGATTGTTGATGCCATGACGGAATTGGCAATTACTGGCACTACTTTTCCTATGTGGGACCCAGCCTGGGGAGTTTCTCAGGGAGTTATGTTGGGCCACAGGTCATGATATAATGACTACATCCACGGGTCAAAATTTTGCTCCTCACCCGTGATGAGGCATGAAGAAAAAATGGGCTAAAACTTTATGTGGTTCAGGGCACAACTGAAAAATTCATAGTGAAATGTGCTGAGGGACAACACCACATTGCAAGGACAGGCTAAGAATCAAACTGTTGGAGGCAGTGGGGTTTTTTGGGGGAGAATTTTGGTTGATTCTCTGTTCTGGTAACACCCCTTCTTCTGGGTGCATCCAGGACTGATGAATCTTTCCATGATCAAGCCCCACCACCACTCTTGTTATCTCGTGGGCATCTGTGCCAGTGCTTGCCAAAGCTTTTGGGCTTGCTGTTGCTTCAAGCTCTAGCCAAATTTAGGCAAATGCAACTAAATGTACTACACAGAGGTCACAGATGAAATGTACTTTCCAACTTTACCTGGTTAGGTCCTTTTCTAAAGGAAAATGGAACCCCTGAAAAATGTGCTGGCCTTATGCATCGCCGGCACCAAGAGCATCCACGAGTGGATTGACCTGCCCCATTTTAGGGATGCAGTGGGGCTTGGCCAGCAGTTGGCAGAGGCTCATAAAGCAGTTGGGGTTCTTTGTTCCCCTCGTACATGCACACACAGACCTCCTGAGCTCTTAGCTGGCTGCTGCCACAGCCCTCAGTGTAGTACAGACTGTGTTTTCTCATGTGAAATTCAATAAATTCAGCATTTTCAGGACCTCAGTATAATCAGGGTTTTCAATCTTCTCCTTCATTGCCTTCTAATATACCCTCCTAACAATTAACTCTGTGTGTTGGGAGAACGCCAAATGCAGGGTAAAAGACTTCGTTTTTCTTTCCCATAATTAAATGTCGTGTTCGCTGCTGTCTTTCCCACTCGATTAAGTGTCCGTGTATGGTCTAAAATGCTCTTTGGTGAATTAGCATAAAGTCTGTCAGGATTTCAACCAACATTCTCCCTCCCACTGCATCTGTGCAGCTCACAAAGGGCAGTGTTGGCCGGCGGCGGGGGCCTGGAGATGGGTTTACTGCAGCTCTGGAAAAATGACTTGCAAACCTCTCCCTGGTCTCACTCCATGCTGCAGGCCAATTGGGGCAGCTAGCTGATTATTTTTTAAAAATGACATCTAAAGGACATAATGGAGAAATAGTCCCCAAGCTGGACTCTGAGAACATCTACAGCATTGCATGTGATGGCAAAAAATATAATCGGTTGTCAGTGACTAATAGATGTGTGAGTTATGGGCTGGGAGGTGAAATAGCAACTTTCCACCAGTTCAGGATGAGCTGGAAGTGAGATGATGAGGTCCTCAGCACAAGATGAACAGTGTGGTTGTCCTGGTTGGCAGCCCTGTCTTAGGGAATGGCCACTTTCCCTAAGAAGCATTCCCTGGAGCCAGTGCACTTTTTGCCACGTTCCCCAGGGCTGCTCTGTGCCACCCAGTTGCAGAGTCTGTTAACCCAGCACTAAACATCCCAGGTGCCACATTTGCACATCTTTTAAATACCTCCAGGGACAGTGACTCTACCACTTCCCTGGGCAGCCTGTTCTGTGCAGTACCTTCCCTGAGCAGCTTGACCACCATTTCAGTGAAGAAATTTTTCCTCATATCCAATCTAAACCTCCTGGCACAACTTGAAGCTATTTCCTCTTGTCCTATTCTTGTTTCTTTAATTTTCATAATTCTTCAATCTTCACAACTTCTGGTTTGTTACCAAGTCCAGAAGCAGTCTCTGGTATGGGATGATGGGTCATTACAAGTTGGGAAAAGACTTAGTGGTGAGGGGAGCAGAGCTGGCAGATAAACCTGGAATGTGACTGTGAGTCCCAAGCCCTCCTTGTCCAGAGACACCTCTGCTCCCTGAGAAGGGATTACACTGGGTGGGATCCCATACTCCTGCTGTTTCCCCAACTCCTCCTGCAGTTCTCTCCATGTCCTTTGGATAAACAGCTGCAGAAAGGGAGCCTTTGTTTCCAGAAGCGTTGGGGAATGGCTCGTGGTGGTACAGATAACCCTGCCTGTTGAGGAGAGGCTGCAATACAACTGGGAGGGTACACAATGAATTATTCACCAGCTGTTTCCTCTCCTTTCAAGACATTTTCTGTAAAAACAGGGGCTGGAAGTGGTGCATATGAGATATGCAATCAACAACACAGAAGGAGTTTGAGTTTTTGGCTTGCTGGGTACTCAGACCATCGGTCACAAGGAACTGGTTTGTGCAAATCTGTGTCTGGACCTCCATGATGTTTGACTGCAGGTGGCCCATAAATGTGTTTTCTTTTTCTCTGAATGCCTGCTGAAGACCTGAAAATCTGATTTACAGAAGTGCCAGGTGCCTGCAGCTTTGACAGATGTTGGTAGGAGTGATGCTTTAAACTCACAGAGAGAGGCACAGTGCCATGCACCCCCATGACTGGGCTCTTGGGGCTTTCTGCTTGGGGCCCTGGCTGTTTGCAGCCTCTCCTTTGCCTGGTCCAGTCCCTAAGGAGGGGACAATGACAGCCCCTCCCTCCTCGGGCTGCAGACAGAGGAGATGCTCTCACCTGGTGAGCACTGGGTTGCATTGGTGAGGTGCAGTGGAAAAAAACTCATGAGAAAAAATACAGGTCCCCACATCTGAGTCCAGCACTGGGAAAAAGCAATTGCCTAAGATGTAAATAAAAGGCATTGCTGGTTTTTTTTTTTCTTTTCTTCAACCTGGCTATTCAAACTGCCATGAAAAATAGGTCTGTTCTTTTCTTTTACAACCTCTTACAAGTTCTCAATTTTAGCCTCCACTCCCCAGAGCCCATAAAATAAATGGGTAGAAACACCATAAAAATGAACAAAATCCCAAACCATAGCTAGTTCATATTCTGAGTGTATCATTAAATGTGTATTAAGGAAAATCCCTCATCTTACATAAATATGTAATTGTTTATAAATCTGTAACTAATTTTAAGATATTTGAAACAGTCTTATAGTAGAATGACCTTCTAGAAATTGAAGGGGGTGCCAGATGGCTGCACTAAAGGACAAGAACAGATTAGATGTGAAATACCTCTGTTTTAATATATTTGAAAAAATTTTCCCAGAAAAATTACAGGTTAAAAAATAGGTAAAATTGCTCATTTATTTCATGTTTTTGGCTTTAAGTAATAGGAATATTTTCCCCCTAGGAGGTCAACGCCCTGCCATACCCAGGAACTGAGGATTTAACCAGGAATCAGCTGGTCAGGCCACCTTCCTCTGCTGTCACTTTTCAGCAGTGGGTACTCAGCCTGCTTTCTGCCATCACCTCCACCTCTACAGGGCAACAGCACAGATGTGAAAGAGGTTATTGGGAAAGGACAGTATCTCCTTGTACTGCCTTGCTTTATACAAATAAGAGCTATCTCAGAGCTGGAAAACAGTCTAATGTGCCTGCAGTTCCAAGGGGAACACATGGCAGGAAAAACAGAGGAGCAGACATGAAAACAAATGGACACACATATTGTGCTTCTGTTTCTCATGCTGAATATTGATGCACAGTGCAGCCAAATCCTACCTGATCCCCTGGGCCTGGATGCAGGGGATGAGATGTGCTTCCCAGTCTGCACGGTCACGTGCTGACAAGGTCTGGGCATCAAGTTGAGGCTTGCCCAGCCATTTCCTAGCCAGGTCCTACTCCAAGAAAATAAGAGTAAGGTTCTGCATCCTCCTCCAGCATTGCCCCCAGCTGTGGAGCATCCTTCACAGGTGCCCTCCTGCTCCCACCTGTACCTTTGTCATGAAGCCAGAGGATGACTCCAGGCTTTCCTCAATCTGCCTGGGGACAGAGGAAATGGGATCCTGTCTCCTAAGGGAAGGTGAAAACAGCTGAATTGGTAAGAAGAAAATATATCCCTGTCCTATCTGTGCCTGGGCTCCAGCAGTGACTCCCTCTCTAAGTGCTTTGGAGGGGAATTAAAACATTGCTGCCTCTTTGGTGGAGACTGAGCTGGCCCCAGAGCGGGGCTGAGCCTGTGCTGCTGCTGCGGGCGGGTGCACGATGACAACCCACATGATTACATTCCCAGCAGTGGGTACACTGAAGTGCTGCCAGATGATGACACCTCACACGGTCCCAGGGATGCTTTTAGATTCATCTATTAATAGCTCCCTGTGTTTTCTCTTCTGGAAACATAAATATGTATCCCCAAATGCTCCCGATTGTCACATGCCTGGAAGTTGGTAAATTGGTGACTGATTTCAGATCTGTCCAATGTAAGGCTCTGTGATTGATCAGCATGTCCTGAGCCGTCCCCTCCTCACTCCTGTGCCAAAATCCTGGGAGCGTGTGCTCATCACAGTGACAGGCTGGGAACAATCTGAGGAGGAAAGCTGCAGGAGCTGGGTCAGTCCTGGAGCAGGCTAGCATAACTTCAGCTGATTTGAATGTTAATTACACTCGTTTAGGCCAGGCCTGGATTTGCCCCTGGCACGGGCTGGCTCTCTGCAGCTTCACTAAACCAGTTGTTTTTGACCCAAAATGCTGTCCGTGGGAAAAGAGCTAAGCAAAAGCAAATCGTGGTGCCAGCCTCAGTTGTGACTTTGCCTATGAAAAATGTAACTAATATGAGCGATCCTTACTTCTTCTGATCTTAGATTTTAACTTTTTTTAGAAATTGCAGTAGTTAATGAGTGCATACAAATGTGTGTGCATAGGATGCAAACACATAAACTCCCACCCATGAACAGACATTCTAAATTCTGGCTGATTCAAGTGTAAATGTTTTGTTTCTGGATTTAAGCTTCCTCCAGATTCAGTAATTTTGGAGTGGAGATTTTGTCACACTGTGCTGCTGAGATGCTCAATGCAAATGTTGGGTTTGATCTGGCTGCTGACAGTTTCTTGGGTGACTTGTGTTCTGGGCTTTGCCACATGGCTCCTTCTCTGAAGCCAAAAGTCTCTTTGGGGTCTGGACTAGCTGAGCTGCTGGTTTTGGGATACATGGGTATGTTGGCAGGGCTCTCCACAGATCAGAGATCAGCATTTCCACCTTCCCAAAAGGTCACTTTGTAGCATCTTTTTGCTGTAGAGTGACTAAATTAAAGTGTTCAACCTAGTGGCACCACAGGAGGAACATCAGTGACCCACTGATAGGAACACATTTGCACAGGTGTGTTTAAGACCATGTACAGTGAAATGTCTATCAAGAAGACATTTCCAAGTGATGACAAATTCCATCCGCTAGACAAGAGCCACGCTGAACCATCCACAGCTGGTGGGACAACGTCCCTGTGCCCAGCACTGCCTCTTCATCCTTTGCCAACATGAAAATCACCCAGGGTGAGCTGCTGCCTCATGGACCTGCCAGCTTCAAATGTCACCCTGAGCCATTATCTGATACAAAAGCAGCTCTTCCTGGGATCAAAGAAAGCCACCTGCACTGAAAAGGACTCATCCAGAGCTTTGACTCTGTGCCCCCTGCTCCAGGCAGGACAGCCACCCCGAGGAGTGACAGAGGCCACAGCTATGCCCTGCAGAGGTCACGCTTCACTCCAGGTGGAAATGGCATTTCTGGGCACCCTCTGGCCTCCAAATAATTTCAAGTCCCACATTTGGCTAAGGTAAAACAATTTGAAATTCTAGTCACTCACATGAGAATTATTTTAGGATAAAGAGCAGAGGCATTTGCAGTCTGGTGAGACACTCCTCACAAGTATTAATTTGGTCTTGTTGCTGCGGGGACTTTCTGTAGAAAGGAATGGTGAGGAGGAAAAAAAAAGAAAAAAGAAAAAAAGAAAGCAGAGAAGGAGACTGGAAAGTGAAGGTCATGTCTTCCCTGTCTGGAGATGGTCTTTACCAATGGAGGTGAACTGTCCTTGTCTAGATCTCCGTGCCTGGGCACAGAAGGGGAAAGAACAGCAGTTTGGGCCCTAAAAATGCAGAAATAGGAGGGTGATATTTTGCTTTCTTACTGCTCACAGGGAGTCACTCAAACATCTACTGCAGTGCAGAGCAAGAAGTGCAGAGCAAAATATGGCCATAGTGATCCAACTGCGTATCAAGCTGGGGAGGGCCTGAAGTCAACTAATTTGGTAGCAGCCTGTTTGTGTAGTGTAATCCCATGCTAGCCTTGAAAATGCTAAATCAGGACTAAAATCAAGATTTTTCTCACTACTGGATTTAATTTAGCCTTTCCAAATGGGATAATACAGCAGAATGCTGCTTTTATTGGAGCTGTTATATTTCATCCCATTTTATTTCCTTTTTTGTTTTGAGCAGTCAAGGACTTTTCAATAGAATATTTTTGTGCTCTGCAGGCTGCTCAGAGCAGGTCATATTAACAAGCTGTGGATGATGTTTCAGAGAGCATCTCAAACCAGAGCTGTGCCTCAAACCCAGGCTGCAAAGCCCCTGGGCTATCCAACATCAGGTTTCCCATTCCAGCACTGGTTTTCCCTAACACAACTGAGGCTGTAGAAAACAAGCTGTCAATGAGATTACTGCATGGCTGAGCTCTGCTTCTACGGGACAGGAACCTGCATTAAAGAACCAGTGCAAGTTGCAGGGCACAATGTGCACTGTCTGAACTAGTGGCACTGGTTTGGAGGCTACTGGTACACACGGGAAACACTGGGAGATGGTGTACCCTAGGGTTTAGTCCCTGTGTGCAAAGGCTGTCACAGGATGCATGACTCATACTTCAGGGCCTTAAACTGCTTTTGTTAATGTTGCTGGCCCAGATGGCCTGGGACAGGCTGGCCAGGAGAGCTCCCATGGCGGGCAGTCCATGCACAGCCTCCTCTGCCACCAGCCGTGGGGCTGGAGGGAGTTCCTGGGGGAGGGCAGCAGGCTCAGGGGCCACAACCTCCCTTGCTGCCTCAGTCCAGGAGCACCTTCTTCCCGTGGTGGGAGAAAGGCATGAGAGCATTGGGAGGACATTTTTGGGAATCATTTGCTATGGGGTTTGCCATTCCTTGCCCCTGGTTTCCACCAGCAGTGTTTGGAATAGGCTTGGTAGCAATGAGGACTTCCCAGCGTGTTCCTCAGGACTGGTCTGACAGAGGCATCCTGTGGGCAGTGTTGTGAAATCCAATCTGATTTTCTTTCCCTGTGACACAGATCTCACTTTACCTGCTCTTCTCCTGCCTACCAGCAGCTCCAGCCAGCTGTGCCTTACACTGAACTCTTGCTTAAGTCTTTGAATTTTCCACAACCTTCAGTCACAGATCTGAGTGTGCTGATAACTGATTACAGCTTCCAAGGACTCTTCCATGCAGTCTTCTCTGTCCATTGTGAAACAGAGATGTGTGACAGAGGAGGAAATCAAGTAAGTGACAATGACAGAGTTGGTCACAAACTGAATGAATCAGCAGATACTCAGTTTTCAGTTATTTACTTTGATAGACCAAATCTTCAGGGCTGAATTTTTCTCTTTCAGTTTCTCTTGGGTGCTTAAATCACATGCAATACTTTGCAAATATAGATTTCCACCTCATGTGTAAAAACAATGAGATGAATAATTTTAGCACAGATGGCTCTTGTAATACTGTTCTGGTTCCAAATATTCAAGGATCCTTTTAGAGAGCTGGGTCCTCATTCCTGGTATGTGAAAGCTAATGTTTGACTCTTTTCATCTTAAATTCTATTCCATCTCTCAACTTCAAGGTTATAATTTTGCCCTAGAAAGGCTGAGGAAAATGAAGAAATTGGAAGACATTCTCAAATATATAGTTTTTGAGATCACTGGCGATTTTTACATTAGATAATCTGAGCCTCTCTAATTTGTAGAATCACAGCTGATAATGTCAAAAAAGAGTGTTCAAGATAAGGTTCCTTTTAAACAAATAGTATGTAAGGAGCTGACTAATATTAAAACCTCTTGAAAAAAACCCCTGTGACACAAAGAAAAGTAGATGGTGTGAATGCAACCCAGCATGGTTTCTGCCTGGTTCCACATGATGCTGGGTGGAGAGACTCAGGGTGACCCCTTACCCACCATGGCTGCCCAAATACCCACAAAAAAACCCTTGGCTGATGAACTCCTCACCAGGTGGTTAAAGCTTTCATTTAGACATCAAAAATCCCCACCAAACTACAGCTCCTAAGGATTGGTCTTCAGGTGGTTGCTGTTAGCTACTCATGGTGGATATAGAGGGTACTTGGAAGCTGGAAGGTTTGGAATCTTAAAGAGGAGGTGCTGGATTTGGGTATCAATCTTTGCTGATCTGTTCAGCAGCAGTCCTAGGATTTGGGCTGGAGGGAAGCTTGTTTTGTTAAGCTTTCTGCTGGGATCTGAGTGGTGCCTGCAGGAACCTTTCTCTGCCTTGGAAGATGACGGTGGGCTCTGGCTTCCCTGGTGGATGTAAGAGCTGGGCTGGAGGCCAGTGAGGCTTGTGTGTGTTTTGGAGGATGGAGAATTGCAGAACCTGTGCAATGCAGAAAGCCCTGAGAACCTGATGATGAGAACATGTTCAGTGTGGGATCATCTCTGACATGGGAGAACAGACCTGTCCAAGCTATTCAGAGCTGGGGCTTAAGGAGCAGGAGAGCCCAGGGTGGGCAGTTGGCAGAGTGAGGAAGGCACTTTTGCAGACAGATGCCCTTGGGGAATGTGTCAAAGAGGTATCTCACAATGACTGGTCACTGCTTTTAGGAGTTGTTGCTGTGCTGATTCAGGGACTCCCTGGACAAAGTAATTATTACTCTCAGAAGTATCATCTTGCTGCTTCAGATGTGTTGCTTTTAGGCTGATTTGTGGCTGGGACTGACCCTTCCAACAGCAACTGAACATTAACAGCTGAAGGCTTAACAGTAATATGCTTAGTGTAATAAGATCAATTATATTAAATGCCTGATTAAGAGCCCTGGGGACTGGAATCCTTCCTCTGCAGAGGCACCAGTGAGTGCCCTGGCACCAGTGGGTGAGGCTTCCCCTCCTCCAGAAGCTGTGTGTTCTACACTTCCCTGTCATGTCCAGCCTGCTTTTAGGTGTAAATAG